CCCCCCCCCCCCCCCCGCCACCCAAATGAAGTACCTGAAGAAGATGATTGAGACAGGCAAGCTGTCCTGCCTGCAGGGCTTCGTGAAGGTTTTAAAAGAAGACGACCGAGCCCTGTTGAAAAGCCACTGTCACACCAGGGCTGTGGCGGTCCTGAAAAATAAACCAGCGGGCACTTACTTGAAGGAAGCCATCGCTTACCTCTCCTTGGCCATCACCGCAGCCAGTGAGATATCCAAAATTATGTTTATCCAAAACTCGCTCGATCCCCGGGCTTCGCTACGAAACTATGTGGTGGGGCTTAGTTTGGGGGGAGGAAAATAAGGATGAAAAAATTCTGCCTTTGCCTACCAGCATCCATCGGTGTTTGTCTGGCTGGAGTCCTGTCGGTGTGTGAGAGAGAGTTGAGGGCTGTTTGGAAACGGAAAGAGTATTTGCTGTGTGAGCAAGGAGGAGACAGCAAGGAGCCTGGGCGTGGCTTAGCTCAACTGTTCTGTACTAAGCTACTTGGTGCGGCTGTGAAATTGAAACACCTCTCCTCTGCTTGTGTTTTGCCTTTGGAAGAGATTTCAGGTGGGGAGGGGGAGTAGAACTCCTTAGCATCAGAGCGTGTTAATAATAATAATAATAATAATACAGGAAATACTCTAAATAATAATAATAATACAGGAAATACTCTAAATGCTCTGGTGGTCATTTCCAAAAATCCTTTCTTAGTGAGCCCCTAGAAGCCAAGAGGAACATAGGGGCCCAATTTCAAGTTTGTAAACTTTACAGTTCTGGAGATTTTGTGATGATGCACGAGTGGTGAGCTTTTATATATATATAGAATACGTTTCCTTGGCTTAGAAGTTGCACTTCTCTCCCCTTTCGTAGAACAGAACAGAGCTGGAAGTATCCTCGGGGACCTTCTAGTCCAGCCCCCTGCTCACCCCTTAAAGTCCAAGAGAAAAGTTCCTCTCCTCCCTTTTGTTACCACAACAACCCTCTGGGGTAGGCCTGGTGGGTTAGAATTCGTTTTAATGTTTTTTTTATTTCGACTAGGGGAGAACGCTGTCGATTCCCTCCTGGTGCGGGCTCATTGCTACGGGCTCCTGGGGCAGAAGAAAACAGCCCTGTTCGATTTCAAGGCCGTCTTGAAAGAAGATCCGAAAAACACCCGGGCTCTTTGCGGAAAAGCTTTCGTCCACCTGGCCCTGGACCAGAAGAAGGTGGAAACGGCACTTAAATTGTTTGGATTTGATGGCTTTGAATGCCACGGGGCAGGTGAAGGGGAGGAGGCATTCGCTGCAATGGTAGAGGGAGGAAGGAAGGAAGGAAGGAAGGAAGGAAGGAAGGAAG